AATTGAAAATCTGCACAAAAAACGGAACCAGCACACACACTTTAATTGGAGAATGCACCGTCGCGCAGCATTGCGCGACATCGTCCCATGAGACATACTGGCTGTCGCGCACCATTGCGGACATTGTTGTCACCGTGTTAAAGAGGTGATCACTGAAATTACTGTTTTCAACTGGAATTTTTGGAATTCTATCAGTAAGGATATCGAAATGAACATGACTCCATATGCCTTATTAGAAATGCGTCTAAAAACTCAAGAAGAAGATTTCTAGTGACGTGGAGAGTTTAAGACGATGTTATATCTGCAGGAAACACCCCAGCTGCTGAACACTCACTCTTTGACCTCCATGAAAATGATGCAGCGAAATCGAAGAAATTCAAAAATCATGACATGAGTGGATTCCACATAAGCGAGCCCATCATATGGTCGTCATACGAAATACATGGCAAAAAAAATAAAAGTCTAGAAAACTGCAAAATTTGCTTTGCACCACTTCTTTCAGCTGAAAGTGTTTAAATTATGTCATGAAGGATATTTAAATGATCACGATTTCATGCTCTCCTCAAATATGGCACGATTCAGGCCTTTTAAGAACTGAAAACGAAGTCTCCAATTGAAGTGAAGGGTTTACGATGCTTTCATATCCGCAAGTAACAGCCGAATTGCTGAGAGACTCAATTTTCGTTTTTCCTAGAAAGGAAGGAGAAAAGCTCGAGAAAATTGAAAGATTAATATATATTTGGATTCTTTACGAGAAGAGCATTCCGACGAATTTACTTTCAGCTTGATTGGAGTACTTCAGCTGCAGTTATGGCGGAGCGACGGTTTGCGAAGTATTAATACTCCGCAAACCGTCGGTTGACCATGAATTAGGAGCAGTATTGTACTTGTCGAAGTCAGAGATCATAGCGCTAATAGCATTACCACCATATTGCTGAGTTAATAAGCAGTGAGAAGCGATAATCTAAAACTCGGAACCGTACCTATGCTTCTCCTCCCAACTGAATTTTCCTCCAATACATTCAAAAAAAGCCTCTTCAAAGCCGTCATCACCTTGAACACAAGTCACTGAAAGCTCAGCGCTTCATACAAAGGCAGGAAAAGACGGGGTCAACAAGTTTCAAACTCACCTGTCTCTAAAGCATCATCTGGATAGAGTTGTAGAAGACATGCCTGCAAAGCATTCTTTCTACATTCTTCTGGTCCGTGGTGGCAAATGCATCTTAATTAATAAAGGTTCAGTGGCGGCAAAACAAAGTGAACTATTGACTGTTCGTTTTCTTACTCTTCTAACATGGTTTGTTCTGCTAGTTGCCATCGTAACAACGTTTCTTTCGGAATACACGCTATTAAACCCAGAGAATAAGAGTAATCATTAAGTCAGGACAAGAGAAGATGAAATATACTCATCGGCACTGCGTAGCGTATCCGACTTTCTCGTAGAATCGGTAAGGAGCTCCACTGCATAGTGAGCTCAAGTACTGACCAGTGATGGCACCACGGTCTCAGTGGAATAATTTCTTTTTTGACAACTATCAGACGACTAAATTGACTGTTAAGGGTCAGAATTCCTTCCAGGAATTTCTGTATTTCCTTGTTACAGAACGTGCAGAGTAGAGCAGTTATTCATCATCTGCCCAATAACGACTCATGCTTACTCAAAAGCACTACCGAACCTCTCGCAGGTTCGCTATATTGACTCCGCCTGAAATTCAGCGCATGGATAGTGATACCGCGCCTGAAATCTGACTACCTTCTTTTATTAGAGTTCGAAAGCTTTCTGAGTCAATTCTTCATGAACACTTTCGATGCTATTGATTCCTATCTCTATTAGTGAGATGCGGCATGTGATTCCTCTATTAGCCTACCAAATTGCAAGAGACCAAGCTTAGAGACGGCTGGGTTTTGAGGCTTTTTTTTCGACCATGTCGAAAAACATATCGCTCGTTGGTGTTAATTGAGGATGTGACAATGCTCGTAATAATGTCGACATCAGTACACAACCATTTACTGGTGCAGTGATTCGAGTGGAACTGCCAGTAGTTAGCGATCGAACGACGAAGTTGAAGACTTCATCACATTTTCCGGCAGCCGTTAGCACGTTCATGTACTGGACAACAGTTACCTCATTCCGTTTCCGCTCATTCTGCAGGAAGTACGGGCGGTCGGTCCAAATGGGTGATAGTTGATTTTGACGTAAGGTTGGTATCTGCGGTAGACGGGCAACAGCTGCGTCTCGAGGAAACTGCAAAATAACATGATTTCCCTTCAATACAGAGTTCATGATAAATGCGTGAGATGCTGTGTTAGTACGTAGAGACATGAAACACTTTCATGGTAAAAAATTAGCCGAGGCGACTGGGAAGACAGTCTACGACAGTTCCGCGGTACATCAGCGGAACCCTAAGGAGCTGCCGCATATGTACAGTAGCGCTCAAAAGTCTTCGGTGAAATGGTTCTTCAGCCATACAATTC